TATATATATATATATATATATATATATATAAACACCAACTCTCTCTCGCGCCTTCGCTGCCTCCTCCATCCCTTCTTCAACGTTGCACCTCCATATGTATATATATCTAAGACAGTAGGAAGAGGTACAAGAGAGGGCTCTCCTCATCTGTTGCTATCTCTTTTTCCTGGCTACTGTATATTTCTAGAAGTCTCTTTCCATCCCAATTTCCGCCGCTCTCTGTCCTTACTCGCCATGTCAGGCGACGTTCTCACGTCCTTTACGGTGTACGGCGTCATCGCCGCCCCCGCCTTTCAGCAGTGCACCGACGCCGCCGCCTATGTCAACCGCACCTATCCGGAGTCCTACGCCGTTTCCATACAACGCGACGTCCCGCGCGACTTCGACGAGCGCCGCGCGCAGTGGATCGCGGCAGGTCAGCTGGCGACCGACGAGCACGCCCGCAGCGACGTGCTGGTGCACAACGTCGCGACGAACGCGTTCATGACGGCGGCGGAGTTCCTCGCGCTGGTCATGCTGACCACGCACTACCGCGCCGACCCGTCGACAGACAATGCGGAGTCCTACCGAGCCCGGGCGCAGCAGAGCTGGCTCGATTTCCTCGCGGCCCGCGACCGTCAGTACTGCTGGATGGACGTGACGGTGGACGATGTGGCGGTGGGGCGGGTTTGGTTTGAGCTCTTCTCCGCGGTGGCGCCGTTGACGTGTAAGAACTTTTGTGAGCTGTGCCGTGGGACGTCGGTAGAGGTGACGCTGCCCTCCGCCTCCACCAGTGCTGCGGCGGAGGCTGGTTCCGCCGACCAAGCGGCCGGCACGCGCACACTGCTGACGTACAAGGGAACCACCTTCTTTCGAATTCTGAAAGACGCGTGGGTCATGGCGGGCGACGTGACGGCGGGGCACAGCGGCAACGGCGGGTACTCGTGCTACGGCCGCACCTTTCCTGATGAGTCGTTCGCCGTCGCCCACGACGCGGCGGGGGTGCTTGGGATGTGCAACGACGGGCCCCACACGAACTCCTCCAGCTTTTACATAACGCGGCGGCCGCTGAGTTGGATGGACCGCAAGTACGTTGCTTTTGGCCGCGTGATGGACGGCATGTCGGTGGTGGACGCGATCCACGCCGTGGGGGTCAAGCACAACCAATCCCCGCTGGCGACGATCGTCATTGCGGACTGCGGTGTGTTGGACCCGTCGGAGTAGCAACGGGAGGGAGAGGGAGAGGTGGAAGGGAGGGAGTGGCGCCACCGCACCGCCCCCGCTCACACACACACACACACGCGTCGGCGTACAAGAGCTAATACGCATTCAAGCTAATGGAGGGCGACGGGAAGAGAGACGAAGGCAGAAAAGGAAAGAGAGAAAAAAGCGGAGACGGTGAGCGCGCCGTGGCACTCCGTTGGTTTTTAGTTTTTGAATTCCTCTTCTCCTTTCCAGGTGATCGCGGCGGCTTCTTATTGACGCTTCCTTTTCTTCGTGTGGTCAGTATTCGATGCCGGTGCGCTTTGCTGACATGTACAATAGTGTAGCTGCATACCCACACATGCCGGTGGTGCAGTTGGTGTGGATGTAAAAAAACAGTTAACGAACTAACAATACAATCGGTAAAGATTGTGGGACCCCGGTGTGACGACGCACTCGCACCAGACAAGCCCTTCTTCTGGTCTGCGCGATACACGCACCGGACCGCTGGCCCCCTTTGCCAAAGGTTTCTTTTGGCGTCTGCGTGTGGATTGTCTTGACCTCTCAGACACGGAAAAGAGGTCTAGACGGAAGCCAACACACACTCTATAGTTCTTCCTATATATATAAGGGGGGAGACAAACGGCTTTGGACCGCGCTCTTGTAATGCAGTGCAGGAGTGTGGGCGATCTTTTCCTGCTATCTCTCTCTCTCTCCCTTCTCTCTCCCTTCTAAACATGTCGTAGCATTCTTTTCTTTTGTTGATGCTGAAGGACTGGGGGCGGCGGGGACTGCAACACTCTTCTGGCTTCCATCTGATAAACTCCCGGGCAAGTAAAACGGCCAAATAAGGTGACGGAAGGAATACGCGTAGTACTAAAAGCTAATATCTTTCTTTCTCTCTTTCTCTCTCACGCACGCATAATCGCGGCGAGACGATGCTTGGATCGGGAGAGGAGGGGTGGATTCGCTACGTACTTTAAACTGTGATACCCTAAACCGCAACGGAGAGAGCGAGAGAGAACGGCGCGAGGACGACGACGCGGTGTATTTTTTCATTGGTGTTCTTCACCGCGCTTTTCTTTTGCACTGGACGACCTTCACCTCTGCTTGTGTGCTCCTTCTTGCATTCGTTTGCTCTTTGAAACCTTCAAAAATACACTTATCTTATCTTTTTTTCCCCTCCTCTTTTCCTCTATTGAGTTGGCTCACCACGCAGCATGAAGAACGACAGTCGCGGTGGCAAGCTGGGAGAGTTGATGGCCAAAGGCTTCAGCAAGACGAAGTGCACACAGGCGCTGAAGGACGCCGGCAACAATGCGACCCTCGCACTGCGCCTTCTAGAACGTCAAAAGCAGCAAAACGAGCTCTCCCACGCACCACCGCGCTCAGCGGACGCGAAGCTCGTCGCGAGTAACGGTCAAGCAACGAGTGGCGGTGCAGCGTCTTCGCCGCTCACGTGCTCCGCGGCGGCGTCGATCCCTTCTCTTCACCGAGCGCGCAGCGGAGGTGCGGGAGCGCTTCCGCTGACGGACGCGCAGAAGAAGTTGCAGCGCCAGCGGGAGCGGCGCCACCCGTGCGTGGTGCAGTACGGCTCGTGTCAGTACGGTGACTTCTGCCTGCTGAAGGACTTTCCGGGCGACGTGTGCGTGCAGCACTTTCAGGGCTGCTGCATTTACGGCTCCTCGTGCCGGCATCGTCACTGCGTGGACGGTGTCGACGTGCGGGAGGTGCTGCGCGAGGCACAGGCCGCGGAGGCGGCGGCACTGCAGCTGTTCTACAAGGACGGCGCGACCTACCGCGTGGAGGAGGGGGACGGGGATACGAAGGTGCAGGTGGCGACGTTGGTGGAGCGCAACGCCGTCGACGACCCCTCTCACTACCCCACAACGGCACCTGAGGACGCGACGGTGCGGCGCACGAGCGGGCCTGGCTTCCCGTCTCCCCTCGCCAATGCGCACTGGCACGCCGATCCGAGTCAGCGAGGCGGCACCACCGTCGTAGCGACAGCTGACGACGACGGCGACGGAGAAGAAGGGAGGGACGAGGACTTCGGCGACGACGACAGCGGCGGCCCGCTCGCAGCGGCGCAGCACCCCACCCCGTTTCTCGATCGCGCTCGGGCCGGAGCCGCACCGGCCGCTGCTCGGGCGTCCTCGGCAGGGGTGGTGGGTGGGGGCGGAGGAGGTGCTGCCCGGCCTCCGCGTCGGCGGCACCCGTGCATCGCGCAGTACGGCAGCTGCAAGTACGGCGACGCCTGCCTGCACGCCGACCGGGACGCCGATGTCTGCGTTCACTACCTGCACGGCCGCTGCCGCTTCAGTGCGGCGGACTGCAAGTACCGGCACGAGTCCGCGGCGGAGTACCAGCGGGCGTTGCGGCTCCGTGCAGGACTGGACGACGACGCTGCGGAACCGCGTCGGACGTCATCGTCGACCACCGCCGCCGCTGCGCACGTGACACGACCCAAAAAACGACTGCAAGGTATTGGGGGAATGGGCATGGGCGGTGATGGTGGCAGCAACAGTCTCTCCAACGGCGGGGGAGGTAGGGGGGAGGAGCAGGCAGGCGCAAAACAAGTCTCCGCTGCCACCACTGCCTCGCCGCTGCCCTCGTTTGACGACTTGAACGCTTTGTCCGCCACGCCGTCGAGCGAGACGTCCTCTCCCCCCGACCCGCACATCAGCGATGCCGAGACGCGCGTGTTTCTCTGGCTGGTCGAGGCGTACCCCGCGGTGGAGCCGGCGGTGGTGCTGCAGACGCTGCGGCTCTGCGGCGGCGACCCGGTGAAGGCCAGCGACATGATCGGCCAGTTCGGTTCCGCGCTGATGTCCTTGACGGAGGGGGACGACATAGCCGCGGCGCTCGCCCTCGCAGCTGCGGATGAGGCGGCTGAGCGAGAGACGGCCACGGCTGCCGCGCACAACTCCTTGTTGACCTTAGTAATGCTCTTCCCCTCGGTGGAGGTGGCCGCGGTGGAGGCGGTGTTGACGCAGCAGAAGAACGACTTTGCTGCGGCGTATAACGTGCTGCTCTGCGCGCAGGAGAAGATGGTTCGCGCCGCACTGTGGCGCGGCAGCTCTGCGGCTCTCAGCCCGGCTGATCAGCTGCGGGTGGAGAAGCTGTACAGGATGTTCCCTGGACTGCACTCCGACATCGTGCGCAGCGCCTTCTGCGCGACGGGGCACGACTGGAGCGGCACCACGACGGCGCTGAATGAGCTGACAAAGGAGCTGCTCTCGTTGGAGGCGGTGGAGGCGCCGACGGGGCCCGTGGTGTGGCGCCCGCCAACAGCGAAGGGGGAGCGTTGTGGTGATGGCGACGCTCCTGTGCGGGCCGCTTCCTCTGCCGCACCGCCGTTCGCTCCGTCGGTGGGGGAGACGAGCGCGGACGCCTACGAAGCCTACCGCGCCGCCGAGAAGGACATCCTCAGCTACGGTGATTGGCGGCAGGTGCGGCAGCAGGCGTACCTCCTCAACAGTCAGCGCATTCGCGTGCTCGGGCAGGCCTCGGCCGCCTTTCATCAGGGCGACGGGCGCACGGCGAAGTTGCTGAGTCGCGAGGGCCATCGCATGACCGTCGAGTACAATCGGCTCAATCGCATGGCGATGCTGGCGCTGGAGCAGGAGCGGCTGCGCACCGACGCCACGAGCACGTTGGATCTACACGGCTTCCACACCGCTGAGGTGCACGACATCGTGGTGCGGCGGGTGGAAGTGTGCCAGCGGAAGCGGGTCGGGCGTCTGCGGTTGGTGGTCGGGGAGGGCCTCCACAGCAAGCGAGGCCGCACCACCCTCTACCCCGTCTTGATGGAGGAGCTGCGCACCGATGCGTACTTGAAGTCGGCCACGAAGGTGAAGTCCGTAAAGCCGGGCTACGTGGACGTCGCCGTGCTGCTCCCCGCGAAGGACTCGTAGAGGGCGCAACATCGGTGGTGTGGGTGCAGCGCGTGGCTTTCTGCCGTGCCTGTTGCCCTCTCCCTCTCTCCCACTGCTGCTGCTGATGCCCTTTTTTTTGGGAGGTTTTTCTATTTACAGGCGTTCGTTCACGCCCTTGCGGCTGACTTGCCCGGGGGGCTGCGTAACTGAAACGAGAAAGATTATGAAGAAGGCGGCGGAGGCTGCTTTCATGGCCAACGGCGATGAAGACCAACTTGCACGATGACAGAGAAGTACGGGCTTTTCTTTGAGATGAGAAGGCACGCCGACGTGTGTACCTCCGTTGTTGAGCGAATCCCCTGCAATGGCACGGAAGTGCATCACCTCTCTCATCTGCGCATTCTCCATCCTCCAGTGTTATGTATTATTATTATTACTACTCTTCTGCTGTCTCGTACTTCGTGTTGGCACCACACACCACACACCACACACACACACACACACACACGCACACACAGCAACCGACAAAATAGAAAAGGTTGGATCTCAATGAGGCAGAGCGAATAGAGTGAGGTAGAAGAAGAAAACAGCAGAGTAGACTTACACTTTCTTTCGGGAAAAGAAACATGAGCAGCTGCCGAGGGATTCTCATTGCGGGCGTCACCAATCAAGCCCGCACCCAGATGGCCGAAGGCTTCCTGCGCAGCTTCATGAACAACGCTGTTTTCATCAGCAGCGGCGGCTGGCGGCATGGCGGCTGCGTGCACCCCTTCGCCGTGAAGGCCATGGCGGACGTCGGCATCCGCATCGACCGCCAATCGAGCACCTCTCTGGAAGGCGCGCGTCGGCAGCGCAGCACCTATGACGTGTACGTGAGCATCGATGACCCCTACCCCGATCGAGGCAGCGATCGATATCATCAGCAGCAGCGGCAGCAACCGTGGGGTGAGAGGGAAGAAGAGCAGGATGCGGAGCGAGGTAACAGCGGAGAAGGTGCGCTCTCGGCGGCTGCGTCCTCGTCGCGGGAGTTGTTCTCCGATCCCCTGCTCGCCTCCGCAACACCCAAGCACTGGACGGTCGCGCAGGACTCCACGGATGGCCGGCAGGCGTGGACGCTGTGGAGTCCGCGTGACCCGCGCATCTTCCACGCCACCTCGACCCGAAAGCTGCAGGACCACCTGTACGAGGGCGAGCCTCTCTTCGCGCGGGTGCGGCCAACCGAGCTGCGTCGTGGCTGCCGCGTGCAGCGTCGTTGGCAGGTGCCATCGGTCACGGAGCGTTATGCGGTGGAGACGGCAGAAGAGCAGCTTGCGCGTGTAGTGGACGCCCGCACGCAGCTCGCGCCGCTCTGTATGGAGCTGATCCGTGGTTTGGAGGAGGACTATGGTGAGACGTTGCTGGATGCCGCGGCGGTGGCGGCGTACACGGCTGCGGTTGCCGCGAAGGCTGCGGAGACGAAGGAAGGGCACCGTTCCATCACCGGCGAGAAGAAGCTCGCGTGAACTGCTCTTTTTTTTTTCTTTCTCCTTTCTCTGCCGTGTTGCTGATCAAACCTTTCAAAGGCAATTCCCACTCGGCGCACGGTGGCATACGCGCTGCATGCTTCAGTTGATGTCGTGCGATGGAAGGATGAGGAGAGCAGCTGTGATGCTCTTCGCTGCTCTGTTTTGTTTGGCGGTGTCCAGCAGCGCGCCTCTTCTTTCCCTCCACTTGTTTTCCCTGTCGGTCCTCACACATCTACAAACAAAAACAAAAGGAATAACGGCGCAGCAATGAAAGCACACTCAACGGACTTCACAGCAATCGGGGAATAAAGAAAGAGGGCAGCGTATTGTGTTGCCGGGGGACGTGAAGAACCTTTTGGAGACGCGCTCTTACTTCCATGTGTGGTGCGGTGCGCAGACGTCGCCCTCTCGAGGCGCACGAGCAGGCGCAGACGTGGGCGGGAGGGAGCGACGGCAGCGTTTGCGCTTCTGATCTTCCTTTCTTTTCTCTCTTTTTTATTTAGATTCCTCTGTACTTTAGGGGCTGGACTGTTGTCGTGCGTGTGCCTCCCACTTTCTCCTCTCGAGATGAATATGTTCTCCTTACCTCCTGTGTTTTTCCATTCTCCCAACACACGCACGCCCTCTCTCTCTCTTGTTAAAAGAAATAATAATAATCTGTGTTAGTTGCTCGTCATCATCATCGTCGTCGTCATGTACAACGGCGTAGAGGCGACGGCTGTCAAGGGGACGGGCCTCAGCGGCTACGTCCAGCGCAGCCGCGTGAACGTCACGACGGCCGGCCGCTCCGCCGCTCCTCTGACGGAGGACGAAGTGGCCAAGGAGGGCGGCGAGTCGATCAACCCACTCGCGCAGCGTCGGGCGCAGATGGAGAACAAGGAAATGGCGTCGCGACTGGCGGCCCACCACGCGCTGCGGGACGTGCGGCTTCGTGTGCTGCTGTACCGCGAGGAGCGCGCGGCGGCCGGGGTGGACGTCGTGACGGTGGACCGCGAGTGCGACGAGCTCTACGCCTCGCTCTTGACCACCGCGAAGCACCAGTTGAAGACACAGCAGAAGGCGGAGCAGGCGAAGTCGGCCGCGAAGTTCGCTGCAGCGTTTGGCATCAAGCAGCCAGCATCGTCAGCATCAGCGGCAGAGGTTACTCGCGGCAGCGCCTTTGATAGGGCGGTGCAGGACGTGGAGAAGCAGAGAAGCGAGGAGGAGCGTCGGCAGCGGCATGAGCAGCAGCTGGTGGAGCACCTGAAGCGGGTGCGCCGTGAAGGTGGCGAGGGGGTAGTTCATGCTCAAGAAGAAAAGAGAGTTATTTTCGCTGATAAAACGAAAAACCAATAACAAAATGTGTAAGTGGAAGTGCCGTTGAGGAATCAGTGCTGCTGCTGCCGCTGTGTGTCTTGTTGACGTGTTCATTTGGAATGCGACCTTTATTTATATAACAGGTTTTTTCTTTCTTTCTATCCCCCCCCGTTCCGCCCCCCTTCTCGCTGCTGCGTTGCGAGGGTTGTGGTTTGCCGTCACGGTGAAGGCTGCGTAGTTCGTACCTTTCTTTCACTGTCAAGGTAGATCTCCCTTCTTTTTCTTTTCCTGGAGTCCACAATCGAAGCGGTACCGAAACACGGCTATATATATAAATATATATGAAACAACAACTGATTGAAGGCAATGCAACGTGAAGCACCGTCGTCGTGGCGAGTTCAGCGGAAGCTCGCACGAGGTGTTACTTGACAACTACCAAAAAAGGGAACATCACGGAAGATCATGACGACAGATGAGGCCAGAGAGAAAAAGAGAGAAAGGAAGCGGTATTCCTTTCTTTACGATCGAGTGAAGTACGACGACGACGTACTCCTCCATGAAACTGATAGGATGTTTGCTTCTTCTTCCTTGGGATTCAGCTCTTGCTTTTAAGGCGCCTCTTCTTCTGTCTTTTTCCTTCCTTTTCTTACTTGTCTGCGTGATTCAACGAAATGGCAGCTGTGGCCGGCTGGTGGGTTCGCTGCGACCTGTAGTTGATTGCCACACATCCTCTCGTTTTGTACTCCCCATCAAATACACACACACACACACGCACACACGAAAGGCGTCTATTAAAGAACAGGGAGCAAGCAGCTCTCTTCCGCCTCCCTTTTTTTAGAAGACACACGAACGGTAAGAGAGAGGGAGAAAGAGAGGGGGAGTGTATGTGTGTGGAGGTGCACGATTGATTAATTCTAGTAGTACAACTACATATATATATATATATATATATATATATTGCTAAATAGCAGTTTGAAAGTACGCGCTGGAAACTCTTTCAACTCGCTGCTTCCCCGCTCGTCTCTCTCATTTTTGTGTTGTTGTTCCGCCAAGGTGACCGCTGCGTGTGGCTGCTGTTGCGCGCCAAATTTTCTCTGCTTCGTACAGCTGCCTTCTCTCGCTATCTCCCTCTTCCTATATATATACATTAGGTTCGTTCTTTGCTGGCTCTACGCGACAAGGAGAACGCGTAAGGCGGTACGCTCTACGCCCCCTCCCCCCCTTCCTTGTTCTTTCCTTTGAAAAACATCGAGCCGCCCGTGGCCGTCGCTCACGCTGCCTTCAGTCTGTTTTCGCGCACTGCCCGTGTGCCGTCTTTGTAGTTCTTATTTCTTCTGTTATCGGTAAGGAGAGGGATTGCCGACGCATCCGACTTACCCCGCCTTAACGCTTATCCCTTTTTGGGTTTTCCGTTTGTTGATCTCTTCCTCCCTCCCTCTCCCTTGCACCGTCTATCGCGCAGCACAGACGAAGCAGCCGAGCTACGTTCCCTCCTGCTTCTCCATCCCCCCCCCCCCTCTCTCTCTCTCCCAGGAGAACTAACAGCACAGCGAGGCGCACAACACACACACACACACCCACGCACTCCTACGCTATTAGGATGAGCAACGCAAATCAAGCCGGTACGGCGAACACGCTCGTCACGAACGTGCCGGAGGCGGACTGGGCAACGATTGATTGGGTCAGCTCGCAAACCGAGGCGGCGGAGCGGGCGGCACTGTGGCGTCGACAGAGCGTACCTGCCGGCTACAAGGAGTCGTGGTCCGGGTACCGCCCCCACGGTGAGGGCCCGCTGGCGGCGCTGGCCTGCGGTCTCGTACTCGGCTGCATCGGCGTGTTCAGCGACGCCTGCGCGCACTGGGTCAGCGCCTTCCGCTCAGGGATCTGCGCGCACTTCTTCTGGCTCGGCCGCAGTCTGTGCTGCGTGGAGCGGTCGAGCTGTGCGGAGTACTACACCTGGGGAGAGTTCTTCCTCGGCCGCGACAACATGGTCGTGCCCTTTGTGAACTTCGTCATGTACATCACCTTGTCCACCGTGGCCGCCGTCACGGCCTCGTACCTGTGCAAGACATACGCCCCGTACGCCTCGGGCGGCGGCATTGGCGAGGTGAAGACGATCGTGTCGGGCCACCACGTCAAGCGCTACCTCGGTGGCTGGACGCTCATCACGAAGGTGTTCGGCATGTGCTTCTCCACCGGGTCCGGACTGACGGTGGGCAAAGAGGGCCCCTTCGTGCATATCGGCGCCTGCGTCGGTGGCATCATGGCGAGTGCGTTCCCGAGCTATCAGCAGGAGGCGAAGAAGCGGGAGTTGATCACCGCCGGTGCGGGCGGTGGGATGGCGGTTGCCTTCGGCGCCCCGGTCGGTGGCGTTATCTTCGCCTTGGAGGAGGTCTCCACGACGTACAACTTCAAGGCCCTCATGGCCGCGCTGATCGCCGGCGTGACGGCCGTGCTGCTGCAATCCCGCGTGGATCTGTGGCACACGGGCCGCATTGTCCAGTTCAGCGTGAATTACCAGCACAACTGGCACGTCTTTGAGCTGCCGATGTTCGCCGTCGTCGGCTGCTTTGGCGGTTTCATGGGCTCGCTCTTCAGCGACGCCAACATCCGCACCATCCGCTGGCGCAAGCGGCACGTGAAGCAGTGGCGGGTCGTGGAGGTGGCGGGCGTGGCGGCCATCACGGCTGTCGTGAACTTCATGACGCCGTACGGGTCGGGCAGCATGCTGGAGCTTCTGGGCGACTGCTTCCAGGACTGCACACCGAGCAGCACGCTGGAGATGTGCGAGCACGGGGACGTGCGCACCTTCTTCTCACTGCTCATCACGGCCACGGCGAAGTTTTGTTTGTTCATCTACACCGTCGGCACCTTCCTGCCCGCCGGCATCCTCGTGCCGTCGCTGGCGATCGGTGCGCTGTACGGCCGCGCCTTCGGCATCATGTTCCGCGCCATCCAGGAGACCTACCCCAGCTCGTACGTTTTCGCGGAGTGCTCCGACCAGGACCTGTGCGTGATCCCCGGCGTGTACGCGATTGTCGGCGCCGCCGCGATGCTGACGGGCGTCACGCGCATGACGATCTGTCTTGCCATCATCATGTTCGAGCTGACGGGCTCGCTGGAGTACATGGTGCCGGTGATCATAGGCATTTTGTGCGCCAAAGGCGCCGGGGAGGCGGTCGGTGTGGAGGGCTCCTACGAGATCGGCATCGAGGAGAACAAGCTGCCGTACCTCGACCCCAAGAAGGAGTTCTACCTTGATTTCACGGCTGAGGACGTCTACGCCAACAAGAAGTTCACCGTGCTGACCGCCTACGGCTTACAGGTGCGCGACATTAATGAGCTGGTCACCAAGATGAACGTCACCGGCTTCCCAGTGGTGGAGTCGGCGGAAGACATGACGCTGCTGGGGTACGCGCCCACGAAGAAGATCGTGCGGGCCATCCAGGTGGCCGCCGCCCGCAACAGCAACGTGAACTCGGACACCTTCCTCCGCTTCAAGGAGGACCCGTCCTTGTCGGACGACGCCTCCTTCTTGGAGTTGAACCTCACCACCATCTTAGAGAGCTGCCTGCTGCAGGTGGAGCCGACGTGCTCGATGAAGAAGCTGCTGTACCTCTTCAAGTCTCTCGGCACCCACCACATCGTCGTGTGCCGCTACGCCAAGTTTGAGGGCTTCGTGAGCAAGAAGGACTTCATTAATTTTATGCGCGCGAAGGAGCGCGAGGAGCACATGGAGGACGATGAGTTGGAGCGGGAGCGGCGGGAGCAGGCCCGGCAGCATCGTCAGCACGCCAGTGCCGCGGTGACATCGCCAGCCAGCCGTCCTGTGGGGTGATACATAAATAGGGTCGCGGGGCTTTCTTCTTTGCTACGGAGCTTCTTCCCCCCTTTTTTTTGAAGGAGCCGGAAGCGCGTTTCCTCGGCTTTTTTGTTTCTGCCCTCCGCTGCTCATTGTGGCGGAACGCACTGCGATGCTGGAGCGACATATATATATATATATATATGTTATTGAGGGGGGAGGGACACGGCACCTTCTTTTCATTCTAAAATTCCTTGCGTTTTTGTTTCTTTCTATTACCGCTTTGAAGCTTTCTCTTCCTCTACGATGTCGGTGTGTGTGTGTGTTGGTGGGCGTTTGGAAGACCCCCGCTGCGGTTGATGGGGCCACGGGGCCACTCCTGAGGCGCCAATTCGTGTTGGCCCGCATTGCGATGCTGACCTCCTCCGCTCTCGTGGCAGCGCACGCCTCGATTAAGTTGCCGTTTGGTGCCCAACAGGTTGTTTTGCTTGCCTTTCCTTGCCATCTACTCACACTGGCTAAATGTCTCTTCGTATACTAAGTAAACTTCCACGCAGAGACATGGACACAGACACGGACACAGACGTGGTGTTTAGTGGTTCTTGTGCTCTCTCTTTCTGCGCTTCGTAGGTGCGGTGCGCCTTCGCGTGCCGCGGATGGACGTACCGGATCTGTCCTATCACGACGCACACACGACTGGACGTACTGACCCGCCACTGTAGTTCATCTTTCACTCTCTCTCAACGTCTTTTTCGAAACTTCATCAACGTCTGCGAGTGGGATGGGGGACGGCGGTGTACTGCACATGCACAGCAATTCTCTTCCGCCACTAAACACAAAGATAGATAAATCACGAGGGTAGAACCAAAAGGGGAACCTGGACGGTCAACAACCACAAACAACACCGGGGACGGGAGTTGCGTCAGCATGTAGCTCTCCCTCTCTTTCACTCCGTCACGGCTTGACTCCTCATTACTATTATTATTGTTTTGAAATTATTATTTCTTTTCTATACAGCTGTCTCTCTTCGTGTTATTACGGATTATTTTTTTTTTTTTGGCAATGGGGAGTTGTTGTGGCGTGGCGTCGGATGTGACGGAGGTCACCTCGCACGACATCCCGCCACGCGCTCGGCACGGCTACGCCGCGCCCTCCGACCAGGCCCGCCAGACGGGACACGCAAATCCGCAAACGGGCAGCAGAGACGACCGCAAACGACGCAGTGGGCACAGTAGCAAAGGCAACCGGAACTCCTTCACGGCACTCGGCACGTTCGATGCGCCGGCCCGACGTCGGTCCGGGCACAGCAGCAGGAGCAACGAAGCCACCATCACCACAAACGGGTACACGCCGACGTGGACGACGACAACGGCGGCCGGGTCGCATCCTGGCGGCACGACCAACAGCACTGCCGCTGCTACTGCTCCTCCAAGCCGCAGGGCGAGTGCGGTACCGACAATCCTGCCGCCCCTTCAGTGCACCCGCCGCGACGGTGCCGACCCGCTTCTGTCGGATGTCTTTCTCATCTCGGACTCCTCCTCGGCGACGTCGCTCGCTGACCGGGACGCGCTGTCGGTCTCGCTTGTTGAGGTGAGCCAGGCGACGCACAGCGGGCGCCATCATGATCGCACGCACTCGGAGATGGATGGGACGAGCGAGCGGGGAGAGGCCTCGGTCGACCGCACGGTGCGCCGCCGCTCGCAAAGCCGCGTCACAGACCGCAACCGTCTCTATCACCACCTCGTGAACAGCGAGACGGAGGTTCGCACCTCGCTGACACACATGTACCTCGCCCAGCACCGACGCATACTGCTGCGCTGCGTGAAAGAGCAGCTGGTGGAGCAGCTCGTCCTGCTGCTGCGCGAGCACCAGGCGGAGCGCACGCTGCTGTGCCTGCGCTGGCTGATCGGCCGCGAGCGGGCGACGCGGGAGGCCATTGCACGGGAGTGGTGGGCAGAGCGGGCGCTGCTCGCGCGACGCAGCACCCAGCGCGCACCCGCCTACTCTACCGACCCCTTCATGGACGTCGCCGACGATGGGAAGCACGACGACAGCCTCCTGCACACCACTTCCCACACCGGGCACGAGGATGCGGTGCTGTCGTCGAGCGAGGAGACGGCGGAGGAGGCGGAGGAGAGCGCGGGGGTGCGCAGCCCGTCGGTCCGCTTCAATGCAGCCACGGCGCAGAAGGCCTACTCCGCTCCGTGCGCATCGCGCCGCACCCTGACCGACCCCACACGATCGCCGAGTTCCACGTCGGAGGCCACGACGCTGCAGTCGGCTTCGTCGTTTCATCAGCTGCCGCACTCGCAGAGGGCAGTGCGGAAGGTTACCGTTGCCCAGCAGGCGCTGCGTGAACGCATGGCGCGCGGGCGTAAGCCGAAGGTGCAGGCAAGTGACGGGCTGTAGCAAGTCCTGTATGTAAGAAGCGCCTTGTTAATGAAAGCTTCGATATCCGCAGCGTACCCCAAAGTAAATAGAAGTAATACAGTTCCCTCCTCCCTCTTCTTTTTTTTCTGTTTTGTTGTTTTCGCGATGGGAGCGGAATGGCTTGGAACAGTGCCAAGCGATCCGGCACCGTTTTGCGTGCCTCCAAAAGATGCCTTAAAATAATTGTAAGGGAACACGGCGGGAAATGCAACTGTTGGGTAGTCTTACGATGAACAGTTAGGCGGTTTCGCGGTTCCCCTCCCCCCCTTTGTTTTTCTCCGTCTGCGTTCAGTTGTGCTCTTCTTTAAAAATCTAGTCTGGACAATCATATTTATCTATTTCTGTTTTCGCCGTTGGTGTGCGGTGGCGGTCGCCGCCAACTCCCCCCAACGCCGCTGTTGTTGTTGCCTAACATTTCTGTTGTACATTCCCTCTTGTGTTTTTGAAAGGAGTAGAAGAAGATTTACATCTACGGTTTTTCTTCTTTTTCGTTCTGTGCAAAGTAGTGAACGTCGTCTCCTTCATTGCCCGATGTTCATCTCGACCGTTCGGCAGAGGTGCGTAGCGAACGAAGGGGCAGGAGCGAGTGAGAAGGTGCGGCGGGGAGTGCCGGTCCGCGGCGTTGCCGGCGCCCACCATCGCAGTTCTCTGTTTGACTCCCTTCAACAACACGTCCGCTGCTTCTTTTTAGTAATTTTCTTTGCGGCTGAGTGCTGTGGGCTATTGCAGCTTTGTTGTTGTTGCTGTTAGAAGAAATACTTAAGATGCGCCGATTGGGCAAAACCGGGACGATACGAAGGTTGCTGGAAGCCGAGCACCGCACCGCACAGGCTTCGTGCCAACATTCTCATGTTACTCACTCTCCTGGATTATATATATATATAGGCTTTTCCCTCCTAGTTTCTCTTTCTTCTTTCCGGTTCCTATTTCCACCACCCTATCTTGACTCGACCGTCTTCGCGTCTCGTGTGCGCGCGTGCATCGCCGATGTCTTTTTCTTTTTTTTTCTTTTTCCTGATTACGTCTTACGATTATTACTTCTACTCTGCTTCGTTTTCCTCTTTCTCTCTGTGTGTGGTGATGGCGGTGCTGCCGTTGCTGCCGTTAAGTGCTTTGACGGTCAAACATACTTCTTGTTCTTGAGTCGTAGTCCCTCTGTATCACTACCCCCCCTCTCTTTTCACCCTCGCTCTTTCGCTTTCTATTTGTTTGTGGTTTATCTCTTGTGAGTAGATCTTTGATGTTTGTGTCTGGCGCCGTTGTACGTGACGGAAGAGAATATTTTTTTTTCCCTTTTCCAATCAATCATTCATTCCCTTCCTTGTTTTCCTTGTGTGTGTGTGTGTGTACGTTGCTGGACCGCGGCTGCCGGGGGCCGGTCGACGCAGCTGCAGATGCGGATGTTCATCTAAACCCCCCCCCCTAAAAAAAAAAAACCCCGCTTTTTCCTTTCAATGCTTTATCTTCTAAATATATATATTTTGGTTTTCTCGTACGGGTGTGATCTCTGCTGCCGCTTTGTATTGCTTTCCTTGCTTTTGTAATACTTCCGTGTGCGCCTAAGAGAAGAAGCAGAAAGAAAAAAGCCTAGTACGATGAAACGCCGGGGCGCGGAATAAGTCGGACGTGGCCCTCTCCACTGCCCCCTCCCCTCTTCCTCCTCCACGATTATTATTATTTCAAAAAGGTTCTTCTTTTACGGTCTATGCGACGACGACGAGCTGCCGATCGCACTCAAACCCCCAAAAATCTCTTTCCTTTTTTTTTTTTCCGTTCCGATGACATTATGCGCACCACCACGCCAGCACCACCGCTGTGTGGGGGAGGGAAATCGACTAAATCGGCCGTCTCGCACGCCGTCTTCTCCTCCTTTGTATTCCTAGCTAAACGAAAACGCACACAACCGTAACAACTAATGATCGTATGTTGAGGAGGTTTTCTTCTCTCTCTTCTTTTTCTATTCTTTGAAGCCTGTTTTGTTGCTCGTTGGGATGGGTGATCACCTCTGGGAAAGCGTTCTCGCAGCGAGGCGCCACCGCGGTGGCACCGTCGTCCGTGTAGATCGAAGGCGCGCATTGAGAACGGTTGCCGTCGCAGCCGTGGATAAAACCTCCTTCCTGCCTAAAGAAAGAAAGAAAAGAAAATCCTTTGCCTCGTCGCTGTCTTCTTCAACTGTCACACATTGTATCCGTGTGTTTTTTTTCTTGGTTTTCGCTCTTGCGCCGATGGAGATCCTTCATGAATGAACTGCAGAACAACAACAACAAAAACATCATCAACAGAACAGTGAAATACGAGGACCTTGATTCGCAGACAGTTTCCTCCGTCCAACCGCGCCTAGACGCGTTCGTGAAGGATGAAGGAGCAGTAAAACAAAGTGCTTGCAGCAGCTCACCTGCATTTTTTATTTATTTTGGAGCATGAAAGGTGTCTGCGAAGTGGAGGGATCTGCCTGTCCGCTGACTCCTACTCGTGCGGATCAACTTATCGGTAGCGGTCGGCGGTGGCCTACTCGACTCCGTTACACCACAACATCTATTTCTTTTCCCTTTCCAGCTGCTCTCCGCCTTCCCCTCCCCCAACAACCTCTGAAAACATCGTCACTTCCACACGCAAGCAGGAAAGGGAATCACAACCTATCAGGACTCAAAGAAGGCCCCTGCCGTTTTTCCTTCTCTTCTTGACTCTTCGTATTCTTCTTCTCGTGCACATGTCCGTTAGTTTAGAGTCCCTCCTCCATCAACCGGTGTGCTGCCACACCGCACACGGCGACGAGTACCGCGGCACGCTGGAAGCCTTAGACGGCAGCTTCGATGTGGTGCTGTCGCGGTGCACGCGGAGCCGCGGCCCGCCCGGTCACGCACCCGAGCCGGTGGTATTTGTCCGTGGAGAGAACATCGTCTTCATCGGGTTTGATGAAAGCGTCACCCTCAAGTAGAGGTCGCGCATGATGGACGCGCTTTGCGGAAGCGCCTTTTTTTTTCTTCTTCTCCTGTTCCGCGACGGACGCTGCTCTTCTTATGTCTCGCTCCGTGCTCGGTGGTGGTGCGGCCACCCATGTGTTCTGTATCGCGTTGCTCATGCAGCTGCGAATGTTCTTCACACGCTTCTGTTTGCTCGCGCCCTTAAGAAAGAAGAAGGAACTATTGCGACTGCCGCGCTGCTCGTGTGTGTCGGCGATCAGCTTTCAAAGAACCGCTTCCGAATAGTGAATAATTGGAAAAAGTGCGAATACCTGTTTTTTTTTTGGCTGTGAAGCACGAGGCAATCGACGGGTCCTCTGAGTTTCACGAGCACGTGCTTTTCTGGGCCAATAATAAGAATAATTGATAAATAATACAAAGCTGGCGTTGCGTGCGCCTCCTCAGTGAGCTCGTCACCCACTCTCTCCTTCACCCCTCCCCTCCCCTCCCCTCCCCTCCCTTCTGCCCCTGCGCTGTCGTGCCTCTTCTTTTTCTTTTTTAAAATAGAAATTTGATTCTTATACGTTCTAAAACCTTCGGAGTATTTTTCCATTCTGCAAACGTTTTGTTTGTTC